GGCTTGGAATGGAAAGGAATGGATTTATCAAGGCTAGGTAAACCTGCCACAAAATTTATGTTTCACAAAGAAAGTTATGCATAAAGAGTAGTGAGACTGATAGAGAAAGAAAACAATTTCGTAGTAATATATTCAACAGGTGCAAATTAGTTTCGGTCTAAGCCGCCCACGTATTGGCCGTAGAGACAGGCCCCTCGCGGCGACTGTGTGGTTAGTGTAGCGTCGTGTAGATCTGATGCCATCGACACGTGCGGCAAATTCGTCGCCACAAAAGCCACCAGTGTGGCGGCGCCGCGTCGGCCGTGCCGCGGAGCGCGCCCTATTGACCCGGTGACACACACACACACGCTCAAACACACACACACCAACACACACACATATGTGCGGACGACACAGCCAATCACGGCGACAATGCGAACAATGCCGTGCGGCTCCGTATTGATACGTGCTTCTTTCTGGGGTGGCACAAAAGAACACACACACACACACACACACTCACACACACAGACTGCACTTTTCCCGGCCTGATCCCAGCGGCGCACAAGCCAGGGGCGGCGAGCACGCCCCCGGTCTGGCTTTTGGCGCGGCAATCCTGGCGGAGAGTGTTTTTGCGCACGCTTCCGCTCCGGCCGCTCCCTTGCGCGCTCCGGGCCGCCAACAACGCCACCGCCATCCTGGTGCCTCGCTTTCCGTGGCGGCGGTGATGCCGCCGTGGGGGCGTGCTTCTCCAGGTCGCGCGGCGCCCTGCCCGCCCACAACGGGACCACCTGGCGTGCGTCACCGCGCCGCACCCCTCGCTCTCCCCCGCCAAGGAGGAGGTCGCCGCCGTGGAAGTCGCGAAGCGGCGGCGGCGCGCCATCCGTGACCCCCGCGACGGCGGCCCGCGGCCCGCACCGCCCTCACCGCCCGCACGCACGCCGGGCTAAAAGCCCTAATCCCGCCTCGCCGCCTCGCTGCCCGCCCATCGGGCCGCGCGCTCATCCGGGCCGAAGTCGCCGAAGTCGCCGATACCGTGAAACACAGAGTTGACAGAGAAAGTGGCCGGGTTTTTCCAGACGCCGGTCGGCCGGAACGACGGCCAGCTCGACGGCCAGCTCGACGGCGAGGCGCGGCGACACGCCCACCGCAACACGCGAGACGCCGCCCGCCGCGGACGCCGCGGGGAAGCACAAGCAGTGGCGTGCGGAGGTCGCGCCAGCCCTCGCGGTCCAGTCCGAGGATCATTCCGGGCGCAAAGTGGGAGGCTGGAGCCGAGGCTGGAGCACGATGACGGCGAGGCCCCGTGCCGCAGAGCCCTCTGCGCCGCGCGACACCCCAGAGCCCCAATCGCCAGCGGCGGGCGGCGGGGCGGGGCGGTGTTGCGACGTGACCCTCGGAAATGTAGGTGGCAGCGTGCAGACGCAGACCACCGCGCACACCACCGTCTCGGGGGCCCAGGCTCAGGCTCAGCCCTGCCACTGCGCCGCCACGCCACCACACCAAAGCCTTTGCCGCTCGGATCTCGGAGCCGGCGGGGACCGGCGGGGACCGCTGGGGCCACCTTGGCCTTGGCCGGGGCGCGCCGTGCCATACCGCAGCGGACGCACTGGCAACACACAGTGAGAAGAGAAACATCCATGTCCTTTGAAACTTTTAGATGTGCGACGGCGACAAGAAAGTAATGCCCCCTGAATATCTGCGACGTCTGCGACGCATGAAACATTTTGTTTTCTCTTTCCGCCGGCCTCCTGTTTTCCCCTCGTTCCCATGCTGGCCACTCTTCGACCGTGAAACAATCCCCTGGACACGCTGGCGTCCCCCCCCCCTTTCCTCCCTCCCCCGCTCTAGAACTGTCCGGCCGGACGGCATGGCACGGTTGAGACGAGCTGTTTCTGGCTCACACCGCGCTGCTGTCACTTTGTGTCACATGTGTGGACGCCCAACAGGTGCGTGCACTGTATGCTTGTGTTTGTGACCGAGTGTGTGTGGGTGTCTGTGTGTGTGTGTGGGTGTCTTGTGAGCGTGCTCAACTCTTTCCTCTTTCTTTCTTCCTTTGACCCGTCCACCCCGGCATATTTCTTCTTCCCGACGAGCCATCCTTTTGCATCTCTCTCTTTTTCTCTCCCTCTCCGTTCTCGGCACGTGGACTGTCGCATCACACACACACCCGGCATGTGTGGGGCCGTCGCCTGCTTTCTACTATTCCGGCGGTGCGGGCGATGCCCCCTCGATGCCTATCCGTTCCTCCACTGGCCGGCAGACCGCTATGAGCCCGCGTGTCGGCCTATCCGATATACCATCTCTTCCCGATGCCTCGGACCGGAACAGGCGAGGGGGAGTCTTGAAGAGTTTAATCTTCTTCCGCATAGCGTTACTACACGATGCGGCAATGTATTCTTGTTCCGGGACTAGGCTTCTCGATGTCAGCGGCTTTTTTGCGCTTTTTGGGGGGGTCCCGTTTTTGTTTTTTTTGCCGGGTCCGTCCGTCCCAGGGTTGTTGTGCAGGGCCTCGTTATCCCAGCGGCCACGTGGACCAGCCTCACATGCTGGAGATAGCGCTGACGAGCGTCAGCGTCCGGCAGCGTTGGCGGCGTCCTCGCGGCGTCCTGGTCGCGTACCCAGCAGTACCCGGGTGACGTCCTGGCGGTACCCAACGCCCCGTCACGTCGCAGGCGGTCGCAGGACTGCTCCCCGCCGGCCGGCCACGGTCTTTACGACTATTTTTGTAGGCCAAGGGGGTGGCTCGGCCCGGGCAGACGTAGGGCGGGGCCGACTGGAAGTGACGGACGCGGGGGCGCTGGGTGCGGCGCGGGGCGCGAGCCTCAAGGACACCGCATACCTGCATAAATTTTAACCGAGCCTCTTGATGTAGGGCAGTCGTTTTGTGCCGATGAAACAGATAAAACATGCCAGCGAAACACCACGTTCCTGTGGCAGTGACACGCGCGCAGAAAAAGCGGACACGTTGGTATCTCCCGCGGTTTCGAATCTTGCGGGCAAGGCAAATTACCATTGGTCCGAAAAGAAAGTGTCACAGACGCCAGACGTCTGAAGGTCCCAAATTGTGGCTTTTGCTTCCGCCTTCTTTTTGGTGCAGACAATTGTGTCCCTGGTTGGTAAACAAAGTCTGCGGCTTGGTTTGTTTTTCTTTTTGTTTTTCTTTCCCGGGCGACGCGGCGGCGCCAATACCGCATGATGCCGGCCTCGACGACAGGCCGTCATCACTGGCCTGCACCGCCTGCCGCGGCCTGCCGGCGCCTTTGCTGGAATAACGAACGCTATATTGCATTGTAGCGCACGTCTTTGTTGACACACTGGCCGCGCGCCGCGAGGCATAGGCATGCCGGGCGTGGCGGGGCGGGGCGTGGCGTGGCGGTGCGTGGCGGTGCGTGGCGGGGCGTGGCGGGGCGTGGCGGGGCGTGCCAGCGACGGTGGCATCCACGCTCTCCGGGCCTCAGGCCGCGGCGCGTGGTGGCAGCGAAACGGGAGTTGTTCACTTCTCCTACCTAAATGTTCGCCTACCTGTTTATTTCGCCTACCTATATTTCGCCTACCTAATAAAAATATTGAATAAAATATTCAATAAAATATTGCCATTTTTCGCCTACCTATAGTTCGCATACCTAATCAAAAAATTAAATAAAAATATTCAACAAAAAAACGAAAAAATCAGCGGCAAAAAGTGGCAATACGAAAGTCTCAAGGAGACCCGCCGATCAGCTTCGGTGTTCTTATGGGAACCGGGCCTTCATCCGACGCTCCCTGCCGCGCAATTCGACAGATTAGTGGGTTCGTATTGGGCTGGCCCACCCGAAGTGCGCGCGGTTTCTGTGGTACAGTGAGAGTCCAGATTCAGAGGCCTTACCTCAGAGGGGTCACATTGGGTATTTGAACCCGCGACCCCGAGTGCCGAGTCTAGTCAACTCCTCTACCCTGACCGCTCAGCCACCGAACCAGCTTGTCGGCGGCGATGTCGCAACTCCTCTTGAGCTGCTGTTCGAGAAATCTGGTCCCGAAAAAAGGGTGCTTTGAGCGGTCTCGAACCCGGGACCTGCTGCTTCCCACATCATGCTCTTAACCACTGAGCCACCGGGACGCCATGGCACCCGCCCTGCCAGCGCCGGTACCCAATCTTCTCTGGATATACCTCCCCAAGCAATTGGTGGCCGAAAAAATTGTATATACTACCGGTCCCGAACCCGGGACCTGCCGCTTAACACATCATGCTCTTAACCACTGAGCCACCGGGACGCCATAGCACCCGCCCTGCCAGCGCCGGTACCCAATCTTCTCTGGATATACCTCCCCAAGCAATTGGTGGCCGAAAAAATTGTATATACTACCGGTCCCGAACCCGGGACCTGCCGCTTCCCACATCATGCTCTTAACCACTGAGCCACCGGGACACCATGGCACCCGCTCTGCCAGCGCCGGTACCCAATCTTCTCTGGATATACCTCCCCAAGCAATTGGTGGCCGAAAAAATTGTATATACTACCGATCCCGAACCCGGGACCTGCCGCTTCCCACAACGTGCTCTTAACCACTGAGCTACCGGAAGATCATGGTGCCCGCATTGCCAGCGCTGGTACTCAATCGTCTCCGAATAAACCTCGTCTAGAAGTCGGTTGCCTCTGCCGAAAAATATGCTCATGGTACTAGTCTCGAACCCGAGACCTGCCAGTCAGGCACGCAGCACTCTAACCACTGCGCTACTAGGTTGCGCGAAAGCCCGGCAGCCTGCAGGGACCGCGGTCGTGCTGGGGCTCGAGCGGCGTGGACCCGAGGCCCATTCGACAACACTCGATTTTGATAGTGGAGTAACGTGGTTGTTTGTTGTTTTCAAGGTCGGCATGGTGAGGAGGCGCCCCCACAACGCACCCTGGCGGAGGCGTCGATGAAGAGGACGGGACATGTCCCCCACGGCCGCCCCCAAGGCCGCCCCCAAGGCCGTCCCCAAGGCCGCCACCATGGCCGCCTCCACCCTTCAGCGGCGCCGCGCCACCTGGCTGGTGCTGTGCATGGCGGCGGCGGCGTGCTGCTGCCTGCCGAGCACCGCCGCCGCCGAGGCCAGCCAAGACAGCCTGCGGACAGCAGTCAGTGATAGTGAGAGCGGTGCGCGCGGCGCCGTCCTGGACCTGGTGGACCGCACCCTGAGCCTCGACGGCGGCCTCGACGGCGGCGCGTACCAGCTCACCAGTGCCATCTCCTTGGAGCCCGTGCCGGCCGCGGCCGGAGAGAGTCAGTCTAGTCAGAGAAACAGCAGTGCGGCGGGCCGAGGCCTGGTGGACCACGTCGTCGACCACGTCGTGGACCGCGTCGACAGGTTCGCCCGGAGTCACGTGGTCAAGGTCAGCCTGGGTCAGCTGGCCAGGGATCTCAGCGGCGGGGACCAGCGTGAGTACACTGTTACCGTTCTTCCTTTGTGTGTCTGTGTGTGTGACTAATGCTCTCGACCTAGGAGCCCGTGCCGGATGTTCGGGGGCCCAGACAACTAATGGGCAGCCCATTTCGGGTAAAATAAAAATTCACCGGGAAAAATGATTAAAGCAAAAGGGCACCAGACCGCGGCGGAAGAGCAAATGTGGAAACGCACTTTGCGCCGGAATGGCAGCGTCGGACCGCGTGCGCCGCGGTGCGCTTCTCTTCGTTTTGCTGGTCATGCGCGGCGAGCGCCGTGCCGTGTAGTTTGCCCTTTCTCCGCCGCCAGGCGCTGCACGGCGAGCCCGGCGAGGAGCCCGGGCCGAACGGGCTTTGTGGCCCCACGCGGGACGTGCGTGCCCCTGCAGCGCGGCCAGGGGCTTTCTGCCCAAACAGGCCTTTATGCCAGTCGAAATCACGGCCGATGGCTTTACAACGGCCGGTCGCCTCGTGCCCGTAAGTGGCGTGGGCGCCAGGGCGGAGGCAGGGCCTTACAGCTCCCGTGCGCACAGTGGGCCAGAAGACCGGGGGAGTTGGTTAAATTTCTCGACGCGTTTTGAGCTCCGGAGTCGCCAAACGGGATTTGAACCGAACGTGTGACCCCATCAATGGTTTCCTCGTAAGGAGAGCTGTCCATTGGTGGGGCCACACGTTCGGTTCAAGTCCCATTTAGCTACTCTGGAGCTCGAAACGCGTCCGAGGTTTTTGACTGCCTCCACCGGTCTTCTGGCCCACTGTGCTGCGTTGGGCACCGCTCCAGCTGGCCTTCCAAATTTGCGTCTCCACAGCGGGACGATAAAAGAGTTAAAAGCCCCGTTTTTTTCTCTCCTCCTTGAAAGTGAATTGCGGCCGCGAAGGGTGAGAGGGGCGCTGTCGTTCCGTGTCTCACTTTCATTCCCAGCTTTGTCTGGTGTCGGGCCGGGCCGACCGGGCCGGTGCGGTGCGCCAGGCTGAACCCTGAACCGGATCCCGGTGCAGTACTTGCAGCGCCTCGCGGAATGAGGGCGGCGCACTCCTCAAATCTGACTGTTTTGAACGTAGCTGTCGGGCGTTGTTTCCACGCAGGTAGAGGCCGCAGCGTCGCCGCGCCGAGCGGGCCTCGGACTGGGGTGGCGGCAAAGGCCAGGGCCCTGAAGCCAAGGGCCCTGAAGCCAAGGGCCCTGAAGCCAAGGACATTCTGTAAGCCCGCACGGCCGCACGCGCAGGGAAGGCCGAGGGGCATGTCACCGAGAGGCGGGGCGGGGGCAGATTCCTCTTCACCAACTTTTCACCACGTCTTTGAGTCATCAAACCGCCATGTCATTTTTTATTTTCTAGGTTCGCGCTCGCATCATTCACGGTATGCCCCCTGCTCCCCCTCGAAGGTCTAACATCAACTACTCCGTCTCAAAATGGGCATAATTTTACACTAACTCATTCTTCGACCGTGCTGGGTTCTCGTCTTGACATTCCCTTTCCACTGCAGGCGCGCCGATGCAAGAGCGCCGCGGTAATCGATATAGCTGGAGCATGATGGAGACGAGCGCGCTCGTGTAGTTTGGTGTTTGCGGGAGTGCACTGTGAAAATTTGAGTCGTCACTTGATGACAATTTCAAGGCTAATTTTCCTCACAACAATGTCATCAAAACAATTGATGACATTGTTGTCACACCCATGCAATAAGTACAGGAGCTTTGATGAAAATGTTTTCAATTTGTGATGAGATTGTCATCGTTTGAAAGAGATGAAAATATCATCCACGTTTTTGTCATAAAGTGACAACAAAATTTTTACAGTGTGGCGGGGGTCTGGTTCGTCCGCCCCGCGGGGCGCGCCATTGCATGTGCGGTTGATGTTTGTTTCACTTCCTAGCTCTTTCCTCGATGATAGCGCTAGCTGTTGTTTCTCCTTTTGTAAAAACCCTTTAGTCCGGCCCGCGCGCCCCGACCCAACTTCCTGACGGCCTTCTCTGTGTGCAGCTAAGCTCTTCGGGAAGAACTCGTTCCTGACGGGCTTCGGGCTGGGCTTCCTCGCCTTCGGCCTCAAGAAGCTCCTCCTGCCGTTCTTCATCGGCGCGCAGATCGTCAAGTCCATCCTGATCGCCATGTTCCTGCCGTCCATCCTGGGCTCGGTGGGCAAGCTGGTGGGCAAGGGCGTCACCAGCTTCGCCAGCTCGTCGGCCCAGAACGGCGGCTTCTCTGGCGTTTCTGGCAGCAACAACAACCTGGGCGGCGGCGGCGGCGACGGCATGGAGGACTTCGACTTTAAGGTGAGGGCAAAGTTCGTTACGGCCGAGGAACAAAAACGAAAAGCGGTTGACCCGAAAAAGGCGCGCGCTCCATACGGGTTGAGTCGGGCCAATTCTTGCCAAGAGAAATCAGTGTCGCGCGGGCAGCTTCATTTTTTACGGTTCTTGGGACTCATCAATCCAAGAGACGACCGGCTGGCTGCCCTGGCGGGGCATGGCGGGGCCCTAGCACTTTCCATTCGAGTAGAGTGTAGGTACGGCTTCCGGTTTTTTGCTTTCCGCGCATCACGGCCATGCATTATTCATGCGCCTCCTTCCCCTTTGTCAGCCGGAACGAGGGGAAAAAAGTCAAAGTGCTCAAATTATTTGGTCAGCCATCTAATTTGGAGTGATAATGAACCCGATTAGCCGCACCAAAAAAAGGGGGAAGAAAACCCGACGAAACGGTAAAAAAATAATTTCTAAGCGTAACTGGCCTACTATGGATGGGCCTCGCGTGCGATCAGGGCCCTGACCACAGGCCACTTTGCGGTGGCGGCGCCATCGAGCCCCGCCCCGCCCCGCCCCGCCCCGCCCCGCAGCGCCGGAAAGCACATTGGCCGGACGCGCAGACGCAGGCCGGACGCAGCGCGGGCACACATCGCGGTCAATCTGTTTTGGGGCAGCCGAGTCATCGAACCGCATTGGCCAGCCTGTTTAGCCCCGATTCGCAGGCAGGGGAGGGGGAGGGGGGCCCTTGCATGCCGAGGAGCAGGGCGCAGCAGTGAGATTGCTCGTTCGAGAATTCGCACTCGGTTTCATCTCCCGGCGGGCCTGGCGCGGCGTGGCGGCGGGGGGGGGCGGGGCGGGGCGGGGCGGGGCGGGGCGGGGCGGGGCGGGGCGGGGCGGGGCGGGGCGGGGCGGGCGGGCGAAGCGCGGCGCCGGCCGCCTCGCCGCCGCGTCGTCGCGCCGTTTCCGGCACACGGGGTAATTGTCGTAGCGGCGCTGCAGACTGATTCCGAGAGTCGTTCTCGTCGCTCTGTCTCTCTCGCACCTACAGGGGACGCCACACGAGTGCGAGAGACAGAGCGACGATAACGACTCTCGGAATGAGTGTCCCGGGCTGCGCGTCGCGTCGCCTCGCGGTGCAGCCTGTGCCGAATAGCGCTGTCTCCCACGCCACGCGGCAGCCGCGGCAGCCGGGATTGGGACGCCTGAATCGGGACAGCAGGAAGAAAAATAATCAAGTCCCGGCAAGGTGCGTCCATAAAACACGGCGCCCATTCCCAGCACGCCGTCTGTCCCTCTCGCGGGCCTTCGGCCCTGCCTGCGGGACGCCCCGTGAGTGCGAGAGCGACAGAGCGAGGCAGCGCGCCGTTTGGACTGTGCAGTGCAGGCCCGGCGTGCGGGCAGGCTGGACCGGGCGGAAGAGCCCTACCCTTCCCCTCGTCGTCGTGTACACCGCCATTTCGGAGGCAAACTTTGACGGTGTCGACGCGCCGGGGCGCGCCAGGGCGTGTGAGTTTCAAACGCGCCGCTGCCTCCGGCTGCCTCTGTTCGTTTGCGTCTAGTCACGCGGTGGGGGGGAGGGCGAGCGCAACTGCTGCGGACTTGATTCCGAGAGTCGTCCTCGTCGTTCTGTCTCTCTCGCACCTACACGGGACGCCCTATGTGTGCGAGAGAGACGGAACGACTCTCGGTATCAGTGTGCTGCCGAGGGCTGGTAACTTAGCCCGAGCGGCACGGCGCGGAGAGGGACCCTGCTTTGCCGCTTTGGGGCCCTTTTGCGCGCCTGGACACACGCACGCTCCGCCGCGCGTCAAACAGCGGGCCGAGGACTCGTTCTCTCTGTCTCTGTCTCTCTGTCTCTCTCTCTCTGTCTCTCTCTCTCTCTTCTCTCTCTCTCTCTCTCTCTCTCTCTCTCTCTCTCTCTCTCTCTCCTCTCTCTTACTCGTGGTATGTCTAGGAGAGGTGCGAGGGAGCGTCCCACCCCGCCCCACGCCGCCGCCGGTCTGGAAGGTTGGATCGGCGCGAAGACGCTCCCTGCTCTCCGTATCGCTGCCGACGGGGTTCGCGGTCCCACAGCGGTTCACCGGGGTCAACGCACACGGCATCCTTTGTGGCGGCCGGCGCGGGACTGCGGGAGTGTCCCCCTTGGTGTCCCCCCTGCCCCTGAGTGCTCCGGACCGTCCTCTCCGGGCCGGACGCCACGCCGCGCGACACGGCGGCGGACCGGTGCAGAGCGGCGCAGAGTCGATTGAGCAGACAGAAAGGGTGCCCCAGCGTGCCCCAGCGTGCCAGAGGGCACTCGCCAAGATTACAACTTGGGAAATGTCGGGGGGAGTTCGATAACGGAGGGGACAAGACAGATATTCACTTTTCCTAATGCAAAGAACCGCGAAAAATGGCTGCTTTTAAAACGCGGACTGCAAAACCTCAGTTTTGTATTTGTTTGCGTTCTTGCTAGAGGTTAAGGCCGGGTTCGGGTCGGAATGCCGCATGGCAGTGTAGTGTCCCTTGCGTCCCCGCACTGCCCAACGGCAGTCCCCGGCCGCGACGTATCGACAGGGCAGGGCAGCAGCAGACTCATTCCGAGCGCCGTTTTCGTCGCTCTGTCTCGCTCGCACTCATGGGGCGTTCTTATGGGTGCGAGAGAGACAGAGCGACGAAGACGACTCTTGGAATCAGTCTGCAGGCCGGCAGGGCCCCGCGTGGTCACTGCCTGCAGCCCGTCCAAACTTGCGCTGTCGAGGGGCTCGCTCCTCGCGGCAAACGCCAGTCGGAACCGCACGGCAGCCCAGCCATCCCGAGCCGTGTCGTCGCTCTGTCTCTGTCGCACTCGTGGGGATCGCCGCGAGGGCGTGAGTGAGACGGCGACAAACCACCCCTCCGAACGACACGGCCGGCCGCAGTGGTGCGCAAGCATGCGCAAGCGGCCACTTGCCTCGGGCTGCGGCGCGCTGCGGCGGCAACACTACCCGCCCAAGTCTGACTGCTCCAATTACAGGCACCCTTCTCTCTCTCTCTCTCTCTCTCTCTCTCTCTCTCTCTCTCTCTCTCTCTCTCTCTCTCTCTCTTCCTCTGCAGCCGGCCGATCCCCGATGCTGCTCCGCTGGCCGCGTTCCCATGGAGATAATGGCACCTCCTTGTCTTTGATCTTGATTCGGCTAATTGGTGGCTGTCATTGTCGAGTTCGGCGACGTGGCCGTGGACGTCGTGGACGTGGACGAGGAGGTGACAGTCCGCGACCCGGGCCACGCCCAGGCCGGCCACGGCGAGTGACACTGGCCGCGGACCGCGACCTTCAAAGTTGGACGCGGCCGACGTCGTGGTCGACGAGGGTCGCGATGAGAAAGCGCGGTGGTTTGTTATCGCGTCTGTGTAGGCCGTCCGGCTAGCTCGCTGATGAGGCCAGGCTCTAGGCCCAGCTCTAGGCCCGAGGCGACAGTGGCGCCGCAGCGGTGGCCCCGCGAAACAGCGGCGTGCCACGACACTGCAACCCCTTGACTCACGGTGTACCCTCCGCCCGCAGGACAACGGCGCCAGCAGCTCCACGCAGTACAACGACGCGGCCTCGTCGGGCTCCGAGATGATGCCGTCGTACGCGACGCTGGCGGCGCCGCCCAGCGGCTTCAACGCGCTGCAGACGTTGCAGAGGCCGTCCTCCCTGGACGCCGGCGACGGCCAGCCGCTCGGCACACTGCCCGGCCTGTTCCAGAACTCCGGCGCCACCAACGTGCTGACCAACAGGTAAGCCAAGTCCGCCCCGCGGAGCGCCGCGGAGTCCGACTCCAAGGCCGTCGGGGACGTGGAGCAATGCGGAGCGAACGCCGCCGGCTTTCAACCCCGCGAAGCCCCGCCGGGGCGAACAGACTGCAAACCAAATCACCAGCGACGGCGACATCAAAATGAGCGCCTTTTGGCCGCCTTTGGCCGGCAAACCGAGACGGCCTCGCTCCTCCGCCGCCAGAAAGAGCGCCGGGGCGGCCATGGGGGCGCCGGGGCGGAAAGGCAGGGGTTGGGGCGCCGACCATAAATTTGGGACGCCGGAGATTGCGTCGCCGTGTTTTTGCCTCACCTTGTTGGGGATAAATCAGAACAGAAGGAGAGTGAGAGGGCGAGAGAGCACGGAGAAGGCGGCACGGCAATAATCGGGCCAGCCGGCCGGAGAAGCCTTGCCCGGCGCCTCGGCAGCGCCACGGCAGCCAGCAGGCCGGAACTGTAACTTAGTGAGCACACAATGACGATGGGATTAGGCCTGTCAATTCAAGGGCCTCGCCGAGGCCTATTGCCCGGGCCCATTGGCCCTGGCCGCCCCGATCCCACCTTGGAGGAGCGCCGCTCTCAACGTCTTACTGGTTTTCACATCGCTGTCACCCTCTTCATCCCCCCCCCCCCACCTTTTCACCGTGCCCTCCATTCTCGGAATTTCCACCCTCTTCACCCTCTCCACCCTTTCCCCCGCCTTTTTTACCTGCTCATCGTCGTCGCCCCTCTCACCTTCTTAATCATCTTCACCTTCCCGCGCCGTGCTCGCTCCCCCCGCCGCCGTCGCCACACTGTCACACGGTTCCTTTCTGCCCGGTGGCGGCGCGGTGTGCGAAGCGCGGTGTGCGAAGCGCGGTGCACTACCAGTGTAGCAGGTTGCGCGCGAAATCGGGCACGGCATAAAGACAAGGACGGTCAAAGAACCGACAAAGAACACAGCGGCGCCTTTGTGCCTCGCCTCCACTCCGACGAGAGCCTGCAAATAACGCTGGCTGCAGCGCGAGGCGGGGCGGGGTGGGGCGGGGCGGGGCGCCGAGATGGAACTTGGACGTACTGCGCACCGCCAGCTTCGGCGGCATTGTCAAGGCGGCACACTGATTCCGAGAACCGTTTCCGTCCCTCTGCCTCTGTTGCACTCATGGGGCGCCCCGTGCAGGTGCGAGAGAGACAGAGCGACGGAAACGACTCTCGGAATCGGACTGCTCGCAGGGCTACGCAGCCTCGACGTGTCGATCAAGTGCACGAATCACAGGAAGCGAACGAGTGTGGTTTATCGGAGATTCTCTTTTGGGCGAGCAACATGGTGTTTGGGTGGATTATTTCAGCCACCAGGTGCCTGAAAACGGGTTGACATTCACCTGGAATACACTTCATGCACCCCAAAGCAGGTCAGGAGTTCAAACAAGACAGATCGTTTTTGCCAGTGCAGCAGAAAATGAGAGTGGGGTGGGCAAAGTCGAACCAGAGGGCGTCCGGCAGTCCCTGCCCAATCAGTTGACGCCCTTGATGACCGTCTTCGTGATCCTGTTGCCCTGGCCCAGGAGGCGGCCGCCTCATCAGCGCGCGGCCTCCGTTTTTTTTTCTTCTTTACTTCCCGACGCGGGACAGAGCTTACTCATTTCGGAGGCACAATCTCTGGAAGAGCAAGGAGGCAGCATAACAAGATGCGGGGTTCCAGTCGCATTCCTGCTTCAGCCGCGCTGCACAAGTTGGTGATTCCCCCAGGCTGGCTGAAGTTTGATCGTGACTAACGAGACTATCGAGCGTCGGGCAGCAGGAGGAGTCGACCGCAGAAAGAAATGGAAAGGAAAGGGGAGTTTTCGCAAAGGAGGAAGCGGCCACAACGGGAGAGAAAACCACCAAATAGAAAAGCAAGGCCCCGGGCCCCCGGGCAGGCAAGCCGTGGCCGAGCCGTGGCACCATTCATCCCCACTTTACCAAAGGGCTTGCCTTGTTTACAGCCAACATCATCTTTTTCCATAGAGGCGCCATTTTCTGTGCCCCGCCAGGCTGTGCTGGCCTCGCCGGGCCGCCGGGCCTGCTGCACGAATAATTACTCTGTTAGTTGCCAGCGCCAATGACACTTGCCCGGCCTTACAACGCCATGGCACGCCATAGCACGCCATCCCTCTAGCCAGGCCTCCAAGAGCTTCGCATGGCTTCTCAAAGCTTCTCAGAGCTTCGCAGAGCTTTGCCGGGGCTGCCAGCCCATAATGGCTCTATTTTTCACTGGGCTGGCAAACGCAGGCCGCCCGCGCCGCCTGTTACTCGGAAAGGCCTAGGCTCGGGGCTGGAGGCACGCGGAAATTGAGACACTGCCGCCTCTCCTTCTCACTCTCTCCTCTTCGCGGCAACATTGCTGTATGGCGATTATTAGGTTGTCGCGCCGCTCAGTTTGGTTAATTTGTCGTGCTTGCTGTGGCGGTGATGATGACGGTGATGTTGTTGCAGGTACCAGCCCAAGACGAGCTACGCGCACAGGCACCAGTACACGGGCGGCAACAACGTCCTGGACGGCGGCGGCTCCTTCTACAACCGCCACAAGCCGCACGACTTCAAGACGTTCCAGAACATCCCCTCGAGCAGCATGCTGCTCACCCACTACGACCCCTTCTACTCGCCGCTGCTCTCGCGCCTGGACAGCGTGTTCCACCAGCTGGGCTACCAGGCCGAGGCGTGCCGGGAGCGCCTGGTGTGCGCCATGTACCGCAACCCGGCCAAGTTCGCCCCCTTCTCGAACCTCGTGTCGGCGCAGCTGTCCAGGTGAGTCCCGGACAACTTTCTGGGGAACGGATTCGACGGCACGGAAGCAACGCGCCGCAACGCGCCGAACAGCTGCAGTTTTCGCCGGCTGGCAGTGTGGGTGGCGTGGCGGCGGCGTGGCGGCCAGGCCGATGGGGTGGAAAGGAGTGTTGCTGAGTTTGCGGACTAGTTGGGCCGCGGTGGCGCGGACAGGGCCAGGCTCGGCACAGTGGGCCAGAAAACCGGTGGAGGCGGCCAAAACTCCAGACGCCTTTTGAGCTCCAGAGTCGCTATGGGGCTCGAACCGAACGAGTGCTTGCCATTCAGCGCGCGACCCGACGTGCTTATTCTTAGAGCGGCCTGATCCGCGGCTGATGGGACGGCCTCACGCGTGCGCGGTGCGCGCCGTGCGCTGGCGGCGGGCTCGCCCGGTGCCGCCCCGTTCCTCGGAAAAACAAATTGCCCCCATCCTGGAAATATAAATAACAAAACAAAAGAACACAAAAACGCTGCCTTTCGCCGCGAGCAATCAGCGCGGCCGCGGCGAGGACGGCGTCGTGCCCCGAAACCGCAGCACAACTTTGTGACGGAAGTCTCCTCGTCCTCCTCCGGGAACAAAGGCGGGACTCGGCGGCCGGCGGATTGCGTCTGTCAGGCAAGCATCGCGACGTCGCGGCCTCGTGCCGCGGGGCGCTGACGAGGGCAAGACTGTCCCAGGTGTGGCCGCCGAAAGGGGGCAGAGCACCAGCGCCGCAGAGCCCGTCCACGCGTTGACCCCACGTCGGCGGCCCACGCCTGCCCTCTGCCGCGCCCTCCGCCCGCAGCACCTGGACGATGACCCGCTTGATATGCGCGATGCCCTCAGAACGGCCGCGACACGTCCGTGCCACGTCCGCGCCTCCTCCACCACCCTGCCCTCTTTCCCAGACTCTTCCTTTCTCCGCGTTGTTTGGCTGTCTCCCTCACTCTCGCTTCGAGGTGCTGGCAGGCAGCCTGGCAGGCAATCAACGCGGCTCCGCGATGCACCCCGTGGCGGAGGAGGGGGCACTCCTTCAGCACCAGCGGTTGATACCATTTCCCGCCCAAATCCCGCGGCACGCGCAAATCGTATTTCAGGCCGCGCCGGCACGCGCGGAAATAATGAACTGCCGAGCGTACCCCGTGCCCCACTGCCTGGCTGCCTGGCTGCCTGCCTGCTCGGCGCGTGGCGGGACGAAGAAAGCTGTTCCACTGGAGTTTGTGGCGGCGTGTCACGTGGCCAGGGCAGGGCCAGGGCAGGGCGAGGGCACCAGGGCCACGGCCAACACGAACACGGGCTTGACCGCCGAGCCTTGGCATAATTCAGGGCTAACCTTTGATATTTACCATGCGGCGCCCTTCAAAGGAGGGCCATCCTAGCCGGCCGGGCCGCCAATAAATATTAAAGTGAATCTTTTCCCTCCTATTTTTTTTTTCAAAGAGTGCCGGAGAGGGTGGCGTGGGCTGCCGCCACGGAAGGGTTCAAGTACTAACGGAGGCGAGGCTCGACTTGAGGACGATCGGGGGGCCAATTAGCATGCAGGCCGAAGCCGCCCTCCGGCCGTGTGGGGGACGGGGAGCGGCAATCCCTGCCTCTCTCTCCTCCTCCGCCACCGCTAGACGTCGCCGCGTCAAAGGGGGAGGCGCGCGCCCAAAGTTCTCCTGCGCCTCAAACAGCCGCCGAGGACGAGGACGGCGTCGCACTGTAGACCAAGTTGGCGGCGCTGCCCTGCCCTGGCAGCCTGGCGGCCTGGGCCGTGTTAGAGGCCGTGTTTGGTTTGGGCGTCCCTTCACCCGGCGGCGTGCCGCGCGGTGCCGCGTGTCCTCGCGGACGCCCTTCGGGTCCGTCGGGGCCGTCGGGGCCGTCGGGTCGTCCGGGCCCTTCGGCACGTGTTCGCTGGTATGCCCGCGCACGTCCAGGGCCGCCTAGGGCCGCTGGGCCGGCAGGGCGTCGGGAAAAAGGCGCACACTGGTACGGCACGTCGCCCAGCACAAAGCAAACACAGTTCTCCAATTGTTGGCCGCGGTCGGCAGCCAGCAGCAGGCGCACGCCCTGCGCACGCCGTGCACTCGTGGAGCGGGGCGAGCAGCAGATTTCTGTCTCTCTCGCACTCACGGGGCGTCCCGTTCGGGTGCGAGAGAGACGGAGCGACGAAAACGGCTCTCGGAATGAGTCTGCGGCCTGGGTGCCGCGGCAGCCCGGAGTGGTTGTGTCGCGGAGGGCGAGGCTGGGCGGGGCTGGGCGAGGCGAACCTCGCGCTCTCAACTTTGAGGCGTCGCTTGGCTTTCCTTTACACTCCGACACCCCGAGCTCGGCGTGGCCCGGCGGCGTGCGCGACGCGCTTTGTACTCGTTGTGGCGACGAGGCTGTCTGCCAGGCCGCCTGCTGAGCTCCACGCCGTACTGCCAACAGAGCGACAACGTCTACGCGAATTTCCAGAGGCACTGCGGGTTGCTTTCGAACACTGCTTTCTTGGCTGCGTCTCTCTCTCTCTCTCTCTCTCTCTCTCTCTCTCTCTCTCTCTCTCTCTCTCTCTCTCTCTCTCTCTCTCTCTCTCTCTCTCTCTCGCACTCACGGTTCGTTCCCTGGGGGTGCGAGTGAGACAGACGCTCTTCGGAACGGCCCGCCTGGCAAACAGTGCCAGGCTGCCGGGCGCGGGGTAAGGTCCACAAACGGGCCTGTCGCGCCAGCGGACTGGGCCAGGGCTGCCAGGGCCAGGGCTGGGCCTCGTCCGTCGTGCCTCGCCGGGGTCCAGGAAGACCGTGAGCAGCCCGAAGAGCAGTCTAACGACGTCAACGCGCGGCGCAAACAACTTAGCGACCAGATCTCCTCCAAAGCCGGAGCGAGTGGTGTTGACGGTGTATCAGCCGATAGGGCTCTGCGGGCGAATTGCTGTGCGCTGCCCTGTATTTAGGCAACCCTCTCGACCTGAATTCCGCAGCGGCACGGCGGCACACGGCGCGGCCCCTCCTGCTCGGGAAGTGGGCCGGGCCGGGCCGGGCAGCCGCAAGGGGGCGGGCAGGCCGCGGAGCGGGGCTGCCCGTTGGGTTGCCTACCGCGCAGGCGCAGCGAGGGAACGTTCGTCGAAAGGGTTGCCTACCTCAGCCTCGCTACCGAGAGACAGGCAGGCTGAGGTGGGCGCTGATCCATCTTGATGAGTTTTGCCTACTGTTGCGGTAACACTGCCGTCGCCCGCAGTCCAGCCAGCGCCACCGGTTTGTTGTTCGTTTCCCCGAAGCGTCGGCTGCTTTTCCAGCGCGCAGTCCGACGCAGGCTTGCTCTGTGCCTCCTTGGCCTTGACAGCGCACGGTACCACGGGGCGCCCACGCCACGGCCCCTCCCCCTCCCCCCCCCCACCCCCGGCCGCCGCGCCCTGCGGTCTGCCGTTGGACCTGGCGGGCCTGGCGAGTCGACTAGCAGGGCTTGGGGACACAATTCCTGGACATTTACGAGCGCCCGGCCACGCCACTGCAGCACCGACCATTTGTTCGTTCCACCTTCCGCTTTGAATGCCGCCGAAGCCAATGCGTCGGCGAAGATTGTTGCCGAGAGTTCCGGTCCTTTTTCCTGTTTCTCGCGCCACCCGCCTCGCCTTGGCGGTAACAACATTTTGGCGAGTCCGGAGGCGGGGCTGGCGGGGCAGGCGGGGCCGCATTGGGACAAACCATCAGCCGGGGTGTCCAATACGCCGAAGCGGCGCGCGGCGGCCAGCACATCCCCAAACTCGGCACACTGCTTGTTCTCGCCCGGCCGCCCGGCGACCGCCTCGAAAAGGCGGCACCAGCCGAAAACAACTTTAGGTTGAGGCAGCGAAATTATTTCCCGGACCCTTCTCGTCAGGCTTTCTTCTCTCGTTCTCCTCGGCGGTCCCCGCGGTCCCTCTGCCGTGCCAAGGCTTTTGGCTTTTGTACGACCCGCTGGCCCTGCTGGCCCTGCTGGCCGGTGGTGCTCGCACGCCATCGGGGCGCCCCCGCTCTGCAAACCATTCCTCAAGCCGAGGCCCTCTCTCTAAATCAAGGCGACTCCGAGGCCCCGTGGCCGGTCCACCGTCCACCGTCCGCTCTGCGGGCAGTGCGGCTGGCCGGGCCGTCCCCGGGGGACGCTTTACCGCCCACCCGCCTGGCCCGGCCAGCCCCAGCCCGGCCCCAGCCCTAGCAGCCCGCCTGGTCAGCGCTCAGTTTAATCTCAGGAGTTAAGCTGCCGCCGCCTCGCACCGAGAAGTCCACCGGCAGACTGATTACGCGAGAGGACTCTCGCTTTCGCACTCGTGGGCCGCCTCGAGTGCGAGAGAGACCGACGGCCACCCTGCGCGGCCGGTTGCCTCGGGCCGCGGCCGCGGACACCAACTGCTGGTGCCCGTCGTTGTTTCGGAGTCGCCACTTGGCGCCCCAGCCGCCGCCAGACGCGCCCACCTGCTGCTATAAATACCGACACGTCGCACTGCGAGAAACTAAAATTAATTAATCCGCGGATCGTGAGGGCTGAGGGCGTTGCGGGGGGAGGGGGCAAGAAGGGGAGCAGGGCGGTCCGGGGCCGCATGCCACCACGAAGCTGTGAAAGAAGGGTGATGTATGGCCCCGCGGCGCCGGGGTCCTCCCACCCAACCCCACCCTGCCGCACCCCACCTCACCCCACCCCAACTTGCCCTCGGCAAAGCCCCACCGGCCAGGAAGTGCAGTGATGCCGATGGGCCAGTCCATTACCAGCCCCGCCATGCACTGCATTAATCGCACCTCGGCCCGCCGCCGCAGCCACCACACTGCCCCGCACCTCTATCATGCTGTGCCGACTTGAGCACGCCGCCTGTCGTCTGCGGACGCCGCCGCACCCCGCCGGGCCCACCGCCTCGGAACGCCCAGGGGGCGAGGTGGCGCGACCCTGCCCCCGGCCCGGCGCGGCAGCGCGGCTCGGCCGATTGAATTCAACCATGTTGCCGGCAATGGCGCTGCTACTGGCTGCGGTCAGACGGCGCTTCGTGTGTCCGTCTCTCTCGCACCCTTACGGAGCGCCCCGTGAGTGCGAGCGAGACAGAGCGACGAGAGCCCTGCTCCGGTGTGCGCTGCGCCCACATCAGGAGCCTAATGTCTCGGAACGCATTTCGCGGCCGGCGCCGCCTCGCCGCGCCGCCAGAACGGAATGCTGCTTCACCTCCACCAGGGTCTGGATCTAGGGCCCAGGGTGCGGGGGCCGTGAGGGAGTCAGTGCGCGCCGCGGCTCGTCGCGCGCGGAGGGATGGCCCTGGACCGCCTGGCCGAGGCTTCGCCCCGCGCCGCGCAAGGTGTCTCGCGTCGCGCGCCTCCGTGCGCACACCGAAATGTTGGCTTTGTTTTCCAAGCCGCGAGTTCGCCCCTTCCTTCCTCCCCCTTCCGCCCGCGTGGCTCTACGGCCGCAAAAGAAAGGCAGGGGCACCGAGGGGCACGAGGCAACAATTTGGGAACCGCGGCGGCGGGGGCGGCGGTGCGGCGTGGCGGCGGACTTGGAGGACGAGGACGATGGAGACGAGGAAGGAGAGGGGGACGCGGACGACCTTCTCCACTGATGCGCATGATAAGCACCAAAAGTTCTGCCGCGCGCGCCTGACTGATGGCCCGCCGAATCCGAATCTGAATCACAACTTTGGCGCCAAAAAACGAGTTAGGGCGACACCGCGACATCCATCCCACCCTGCCAAAAAAAGCCTCTGCTGGCTGAAAAAAAATCTAACTTGGGTTTCTTTTTGACTTTTCAGGGAGCTGAATGAGCTGCGGAAACCGTCGTCGGACAACCCGGAGATCCTGCGCTTCTTCCGCTACATGAAGGCGGCCAAGGACGGCCAGGACAACCAGGACTGCAGCCTGGTGTACTCGACGTGCACGCAGTCCGACGCCGCGCAGGCCAGCCCCATGGCGCACACCTTCCAGGACATCAACAAGCTGGTGCAGGCGCGCCGCCTGGCCAAGGCCATGGAGGGCGCCGTCGAGGACGCCGTCGAGGACAAGCAGCCGCCGGCCGCGCCGGCCGCCTAAGAGCCGCGGCTGTGTCCACCCCTCCCCTCCCCCTCCCCAGTGGTCGGCTGCATCCCCCGCCAGCGCGCCGTGTGTTCGAGACTTTTTGTGAACCCACGCAGCGGTTGTCGCGTTGCCCTCGGCGGAAACAAACTTCACAGTGAGGCGGCTGGCGCGAGCTGGCGAGTCGATGCCGGGTGGACTCGGAACGGCAGCCACCATTGGCGACGCCGGGGGCCGAGTTCCCGACGGTGAACAAGTGGGCGTCTATCGCGCGGGGGAGTTGCCGGGGTGTTCGACGTGCCGGAAGAAGTGTAATTGAAGAGGAAAGTGCCACTCCGCCCCAGTGAAACAGTCAGTCATACGGCAACTCAGAGGACGTTGCGCGCGTCGTTTCCGTTTTCAACGGGGCAGTAAAGTAAATCAAAATTGTCTCTTTAATAATGCCATGTTGACGCACCTGATTCGCGCTGTAAAAAAAATGCTTGATGCTCAGTAACTGTATTGTATTTTGTAATTACCTGTACTGTTTCTGGGAAGCAGCAGGACACACCAATGGAGATAGCCATCAATTCTGCTTGTCTCTTTTGCTCAACTTTGGAGATATAGGTGAATTCAGGGTTTTAGATAGGTTTGAAGAATCGTGAACTCGGTGGAAGTTACATAGTGATTTAATTTTCGTAGCGTAGAATGTTGTAATCAGGAAGGTTGGATGTCCACGTCAGTGTTGCATGACTGCCACATCTCTCGTTTCTGTGTCTTGAGGAACAGAGCACTGGCAAAGCTCTAGGCCGAACCCCTACAGCTTTGCCTTGCTATGGACTGTTCCGCAACACTGCAGTTGTAGCACTGTGGTGATGTCGGTGCAAACAACTGCGCACTCAGAAACTTGCGATTTGAGCTGGTCATATTTTGGTCCTGTTATTTATGTATTTATTTATTTACTTATTTATTTGTTATGACTCTTTGTCTTTCTCCTTATTTATTCCTTTCTTAATTTATTATTTATTTATTTTGTTGATATTTCCTTATGGTAGTGCTCGTTCATCACACTGCAAAAATGTTAATAAAATTCGTTGAATTAAACGCGTCATTAAAAAAACAGGCTGCTGTAAAAAGAAATTAAAATGTTAAACAAAATTATCATGGAATGAGGAAAACTGCCATATGATGCTCGCCGTAAAGAGGGGGCACTTAATCATCGGACACAGCCCTTACTCATTAGCATACGGCCAAGTCCCTCTGGAGCCTTCTTTACACCGTTGGACTGTACCCGGTAAGCCTGCCGAGGCTTCCAGGGGCTGCAGAGCAAAGAGACTCCAATCCAGTGAGCAAGAGTCACGACTAGCTCCTCGGCAGGGCGTTCGCGCGCCAAGACACAACACGGGGGTGTCTGTTCCGGCGGCTCCATGCGGTTCCCCGCGGTGCCTGTGAGGGGCCGTCGCGAGGAGGCGACGTCGAGCGCCTTGGCGTGGGTGAGCCCCGGGGCTCTGTCGCATTAATTAGTTCCCACTTGGCCAAAAACGGGGAGAGGAGAGGCGAGAGGGTGCGCGGAGCGCCTGCAGTGGGTGGGATAGGCAAACCCGCAGAGCAGGCGTGTGCGGAGTGCGCCCTGGCTGCCTACCTCCGGGCGCTTTCCGCCGCCGGAATCAGCGGTAAGCTCTGATTCGAAAGGCGAGCGAAGCATAAGCCGTGGCAGCGCGCCCACGCGCTCCGCGGGCACCGCCTGGGCTGGGCTGGGACCTCGCCTACACTGGGGCCTCGCCTCGAGCGCCACCGCCCCACCGCCCACGGGTACAACGTGTTGACTGGAGGGTCCGAGCGGCCAACACAGCACGTGTTCCGTGTGCACGCCGCGCACGACAGTGGAAAGATGTATATATATTATAACACGGTGCAGTATGACTCAGGTCATTCAAACGCTGCGTGTCTATAATGACTCCGAACAGGAAAAGTTCAGCCACCGATCAATGTGTCTGATTTCGCCAAGGGCGCGCGGGCCCGACCAGACTCCCTCCGAGTTGGGAAACTGATTTTCGGGCCCCGGAAAAGGTACGAAGTGATTGAAAAGACCGAGATCCGGGTTTGGCAGTGCCGCGCCGCGCTGCGCGGGTCATGGGCCGGCCCACGGCCACAACAAACCTTACGTCACGTTACACAACGAAGCCCGGGCGCCCCTCCGCGCGCCGTGCCGCACTCCACCGCGCCGCCCACACTGTCGTCGTTGGACGCGCGACCCGGACTACTGCCGCCACTGCGGCCGCACTCTGCTCGTATCCGATTCTTGCCGCTCCGCGCCGCCCGGCCCCACTTGCAAGACCCGGCCGGCTTGCCGGGGAATTCTCATTTCGACACTCCTTCCAGCGACCGATGCCCGCCGCTGCTGCAACGACGCGCGGCGCAGCACCGTCTCGGGGGCCGTGGGGGCCGAGACCGATGAGCCAGGCCTTCCCTCGCGCGTGCGTCATCGCCGTGCTCGCAGCCACACAGCGCCCGTCCAGACGCCCGAGACGGGTACCGTTCGACACTGTCAACACAAGGGAGTTTGAGGGTGTGGGAGAAGAAACCATTTACTTTATTTTAGGAAGAATGGCAGCGGAATGAGCTCTTGGGAAGAGGACCATGCTCACTGCCTATACACACACCACAAAAACCTTTAAAGAAAAAACCAAAGCCGGGAACAAAAAACATGAAGCATGTGACATTCGCCGATAGAATGCGTTGCTGCCCTTTGGCATGCCTGCTAGCACCATCGGCTCTCTCTCCCCTCTCTCCTCTCTCTCTCTCTCTCTCTCTCTCTCTCTCTCTCTCTCTCTCTCTCTCTCTCTCTGGTGGTAATTGTGAATCCATCGCCAGTGGGGTGATTCCGACCGACGTGTTGATGCTCTGTCTCTCTCGGACCGCCACGAGAGAGAAAGAGACAGAGCGCGGACGCGAAGTTCGGAGTCATCCCATCGCTCGACACCACATAATTCCACACTATGGAGATAAATCTGGCGAAACAATTGGGGGTCGCCTCTCGGCCTCGGAGAGCGCACTGATCGCATTGACGCGCCGTGTAAAAAGCCCGCTGCCCTGCCCACAGTGGGGTGGCAGCCTGGTGGCGGCGGGGCGAGGTCACGAGTGCGAAAACGGACACGGCGATATCGGACACTGGCTGCAGCAAACAACGGCGGAATAAAACAAACGAAAAAAAGAGACAAGCAAAACGAAAATGACCGAAACAAGAGTGCGTCAGAGGGCTGCTGCGCCACTGCCGCTGGATCGGTTTTCCATGGCGGGGCCAGGCGGGGCTGACTAGTGTAGTGCCGCGTCGCTCGCAGCGCCATTCACGAGAACAATCCACAGCAAACAGCGCGAATTCACAGCGGGGCGCAGCGGCTGAATGTTTCGTGCCCGGAATCAGAAACGCAGCGGATTTTAAACGGCGAACGCTCTGTTTTCGGTGTGCACGGTTGCGCTGCCCGCTGTAGCTAATGCAGCGCACGCAGTGTGGGTCCGCAGCCCTCGCAAGTCCCAAGGCGAGCCAGAGACAGGCAACCGAGGCGGCCGGGCCCTGATACGCCGTCCAATTGGGGAAGCCCCGGCCTTTGTGTAGTGCAGCGCGAGGACGACGGCGGGGAGGGGGGGGGAGACGTGGGGCCCTGGGACACCCCAGCAATCCCGGACCCTGCACTGTCGCGCGCTGCCGGTACGAATTTCGCGTTTTCGATCAGGGCCGGCTGGCTTGGCCGCGCCCCAAAAAGGCCCGCGACGCCTGTGGCTCCAGTGGCGCCTGTGGCGCAAACAGGCGGGCGTGTACCCATGTCTTCTTTTGCATTGCAGACAGACGCGCCCGGCGGCCGGATACCCGTCTCACGACGAGACCGCGCATCTCAATTTCAAAATTGGAGCGCCGAGGGGGTAGCAGTTCTGCGTAATGGAGTTATCACCGTAGAAAAAGAACGGGCAGCACTCACAAAAACGCACGGGGTGGATCAGCAGAAAATTCTATTCATACACGTTTCTACATATAAAGTTGGTACGAAACTTTCATTAATTTCGGGTATGTTTTGTCAGGGCCTAAGCGGGTCGTCCGTCCGCGCTGCTGGCAGCACTGGGCGGTCCTGGGAGCCGCACCGGGCCTCGCGTCGCGCTAAGCCCTCCGCGCCACGGCATGACACATGGGTCGCCGGGAGGGTGGCCGACGGGAAGGTGAAGCCAGAGGTCCTGGAGGCTGGAGGAGCCCGCAGGGCTTGCCAACTTTGGAATCGCCACCAGGACCAGGCGGGCTGCGAAAAGACTCGCCGAAAAGAGGGCCACGTCCAGTCGGGCGGGCAGCAACGGCTGCACTGTAGGGAAGCCCTCCGCCGAAAACCGGCGCGCTAAAAGCTCCCACTGAATGCGCGAAAGAAATTAGTCGCAACAAATGAACTCTCATTTTCACTTCCAGGGCGGCGAGGCTATTATTTCTCATGCGCCGCGCGTGCCAGCCGCACCAGTTATTTCTCATAGCGGCAAGCCTCCGGCGAGCCTCCGCTTCCCTCCGCGCCGCATTTTCCGTTCAATTTCTCCCCCCGCCGCCTCGCGGCCGCGGCCCGCGGACTGCGCCTCGAGCAACGGTAGGGCGAGGCCGTGAATCCACCGGCAACATTTCCCTGTTCGCTGGTTGGTTCCCAGTTCCCGGTGGAGGGCGTCCTCATCGCACAATCTAGAGATGCCCCGCCCCGCCCCGCCCCGCCCCGCCCCGCCCCGCCCCGCCCCGCCCCGCCCCGCCCCGCCCCGCCCCGCCCGCCCCGCCCCGCGCCGCCCCGCCCCGCCACGCCCCTCACCGGCGACAAAGTGTAATGCTCGCTGTCACGCGCAAAAAGCAAACTGGAGCGATGAGCGAAGTGCACTTCTTTGTGTCCGGAAGAGACAAAGCTCCGGTGCCTCGGAGGTGCCTCCGACCTCCACGGCCCTGTCGTCCGGGCCCAGCGGGACGACGCGCTCCAGTCGAAGCGCCCCGCCGTGCGCCTTACCTAACGCCAACGCCGCCCGCCTCGGCTTGCCGGCTTGCTGGCCCCCAATTAGGCTGATTGCCGATGGACTCTTACGCAATGGCGGCCATGCCCTGCAGCCTCGGGCCCTTGGGGTCCTCAAGGTGCTGGAGGGCGCAGGGCGTCATGCAGGCGGTGGCTTCCTGACGGGTCGTCCCGGCCTTACGCCGCCGTGGAATGGTGCGAAGGTACAGGCGACGGCGACGAGCCCAGGGCTCCACGGCGGCAAGGGGAGGGGGGTGTTTTGGCATTGATGTAATGTCGGCCATTAGGTGACGACCTTAGGCCCTGCGTGCGGCTGACTCCGAGTAAGACCGTCTCTCTCGCTCTCGCAGGGTGTGCTGTGTGGGTGCGAGAGCGACAGAGCGCCTGGCCGCGGAAGCAGCCTGCAGGGGAGCGACACTCCGGAAGAGAGGGGTCTCCGCCTGCGTGCCGCGCAGCCAGATATGCCTTGACGGTGTAATCCTAGCAGTCTTCCTTTTAGCGGACCGCCAAATCGGCTCCAGAAAATCAATCAATTCGCGAGGAATGGTGCGAGGAGATAAGGGTGGCAACCAGTGGCGCCCTGCCTCAGCAAGCCAGGCAGGCAGCCAGCCAGGCAGCCAGCCAGCCAGCGCCATCCCGGCGGTCAAGGTCACCAGTCACCACTCCGGCCCAGCTCTTCATGAAGCTCGCCACAGATGCGGCAAGCGGCGGCCGGTTTGAGGGTTCCTCGCCGGCCGGGCCTAGCCGGGCCGCCCCGGCCTCCCTCCCGGGTGTAACGTGAGTCATCCCGAGCCGGACCCGGCGCTCCCCACCTCCCCCAGGACCCCCCCGACCCCTCCCCCCCGGTTATGTCAGCGGCCGCGGCGCAACAACGCCTGTCTGTCTCTCTCGCTCCGCGGCGCCCCCGCACCGGCGCGACGAGGACGCCGACAGTGCGTCTCCCGCGCGATGACCGGCCGGCTGTCATCAGCGCACGGTGTGGTGGTGGTGGAGGTGGAGGTCGAGAGGGTAGCGTTGTGCCGCGCGTTTTAAATGCGGCGCCCGCCACGTGGCCGCCAGTCCGTCTCCAGCCCCTGCCCCGCGTGGCCGACAACGCGTTGCTCTTGCAGTGGGCGCGACCGGGAAACAGTGTAGCAGCCAAACAGTGCCGCCCAATAGGAGCGACAGCTGTGCCTACAGCCAGGTGTGTACAGTGCCAAGTGTGTAGTGGTGAAGTGTCGTGTCGGTGTTGTGTGTCACCCCGTGTCACAGCGGGCCGCGTGGGGCCGCGCGCTGCGCACACACCCCGCAGTGCCAGGCCGCCCGGCAAGGCTTTCCGTCTCGGGTTCCCCATCATCAACGCCGTTCTCCAGGGTGTGCTCGCCGTCCAGCCGCGTCCAGCCACCCCGCCAATCATCGGCGTCGAAGGCGGCAGGCATGATTGAGGCCGGGTCACTGTGAAGAACCAAACGCGGCTAGAATAGGCTCCGGATTGCCTGTCTGCTCGTCGGCCGGAGCCTTTTGTGCGTGGGGGAATCAGAAGCCTCGCTCCGCCCTGCTCCTCCTTGTCGGGGGCTCATTTTCCGCCCTTTATTACCGCCAGCACCCCGATTCTGGGCCTGCTGTGCGTAGCTGTGCCTAGCTGTGCGCGGCGGCAACCTTCTCTCCCTGCCTTCGCCGTTTTCAATTTGTGTCTCCGGGCGGGGGAGGATCTGTCCACATGGGGTGCGTTTTGGTGAGGGTCTGCCGAGGCCAGGCCGCCACCAGTCCAGGCTGCCAGGTCAAAAAGTGGTGGCAATAGGCCTGTCGCTCTGAGGTACAGCCGGTACAGCCCCCACAGGGACCTTCCGTCGTGCCTGCGCCTCCTCGGGGGTGCCGTGCCACCGCCCCCCAGGCGGCCGACGCCGTGCTGCGCTCTGTGTACAGTGTACAGTCGCGCAATATTTTTCACGGCGCGCCGTCCATTTTGGCGTCGGTCTGGGGCCCCTTTCAGCCATTCAGCCTCGTGACAATACACGCTGCTCCCCGCGGTCTCCATTCAGCGCCCCGGCCCCGCCTTGCCTCGCCCTGCCCCGCCTACCGCCACACACTTCATTTAGCCTACTTTTGTCTCTCGAACGAGCTACAATTTTTTGTTTCGAGCCAAAAAGCAGCGCGTTTCGCGTCGTTAATTTTGGCGGCGGTGGAAAAGGAAAAATGGCGGCCGGCCGAACACGGGCAAACACGGCCTCGGCGTGAGCCTCGCCACGTGCGGCGGGTGGTCGCCGAGCCCCACGTGTCGCCGCGGGGGTGAGTGAGTGCTGCGAGTACGAAGTACGGCTGAAGGGGAAATCAGACACCGACGCACCGCGCACCGGGAGCGCCCCCAGCACGCAAACACGCAGAATCCGCGGCGACTCGGTCCGCGCCGCGCAGCCGAGCCCGCTGATCCCGGTCGCTCCGTCTCTCTCGCTCTCACGGAGCGTCCCGTAAGAGTGCGAGAGAGACGGAGCGACGGGCCCGCCCACTCGGAACGAGGCCGGCGCAGCGCTCCCCCCGCCCCGCCGGCGAGAGTGAGAGTGAAGGGGCCGGAGTGGCCGGGGGATTGGATTGGGGTGTCCCGGCGAGGCTCCGGCCGAGCCAGGGGAACAGCGGCGCGAGGAGTTAGGCCCGCGCTGCGCCGCGCTGCGCCGCGCTCACCTGTACCGCCTGTACCGCGGCGGCGCGCTCGCCGTGTAGTGCCGCGGGAAGCGGTGAGGGGGCCGCGGAGGCCGCGGTGGGCAAGGGGGCCGCGGCGGCACGGCGCAGCGCAGGCGAGCAGCGCGCCGCGCCGCGACTCTGACACGCCGAGAGTAATCCGTTTGGCTTGAGCCGTCTTCGGGTTTCGGGAAACCTTCGCGCCCTCCAACGACCGTCACTGCAGTGACAAACCCATCAGTTCCAGACTGTACAGCAATTTCACTCGCTGCTATGCGCTCGCCGAACAGGCTTCGAGTTTTGAAGTCAGTTTAATCACGTTTCGACGTTTTGATTGTATATCTGAACGGTTCTGGGTTGGTGTGACCTGTGGCAGGATGCGGTGACACTGCGGTCAATAGTATTCGGGATACCACCAGCAAGGTGTCGAGTGCAAAACAGAATTGCAAGGAGGATTGTAAAAAAGAGGGTGAGGAGCGTCGATTGTACTTAGAAAAAAAGACTGTAGAAAGACCTGTCTTGGGATGTACTCGTCATAGGTCCCATCATTGTAACAATGCGTAATATTTGTCCTCTGTAGTACGATCCATGACCTGAAAAAGGGATATTGCCAGGATTTGCTGAAGTTTTGGTTCAGTTCCCGGCAGTGTGCGGGGGTGTAGTTATCGTGGAGCCGTGATGAAAGCGAAGGTGGCAGCGAAACTAGCCTCGGTGAAGGGCAGGCCTTCGATTCCTCGAAGGCGCTCTGGTAATATCGGCTTTCGACTCATCCTGCACCTCGGGCCTTGAATTCCCCGCGCGTCCTTGCCCCTGGACAAAGCGAAGCCCTGCGCCCTCCGTCCTCGCCTTCGTCCTTCGGAGAGGCAAGCCAGCGCGCAGTCCCTCTCGCAGTTGTTGGCTTCGAACCGATCGGCGGCGTGGGTGCCGTGCACCACCTCCTCTTCTCCTCGTCGGCGCCCCCGCGCCACTTTGTCATCGAATTGTTATTCGCGTCCTTTCGTTCCAGCTCCGTTTCCGTTTTCATTTTGCCGCCCGGAAAGGCGTTGTGGGCGGGGCGGGGCGGGGCGGGGGGGGGGGGGGGGGGGAGGCGAGGGAGTCCGCAGGGCGAGGGCCGGCCAGCCCAGGGCCGAAGGGCGCGGAAACTTGTTTGCCTGCCTTTCTTTCCGTGGACAAACGGCACACCAACTTGGCGAGAATTATGGCGAGCCGTTCGCGTCACGCGGATCGCTGTGCGGATTAAAACCTCCAAAACGGAAAGTTGGCTTGAGGTGAGTGCTCCGTCGAGGGGGCCTGCGTTTACCGGCTGCCTGTGTGTATCGCAGCGGAAGGAAGGACGACGGCGGAAAGCGGGGAAAGAAGTGAGACGAGTGCGGCTTCGCTGCGATTGCCAGCATTGCCGGCATTGCTGGCTCAGGAAGAGCCGAGCCGAGCGACGACGAACTGGAGCCGAGCCGTGCCACGCGGTCCGCGCCGCGCCGAGCCGAGGCGGGCCCCAAACAAGCGAACCCCTAACGGTACCGCGGCGAGCGAGGCGCGGCGCTTAGAACGCCGCATCTCCGCGGCCGGCGGTCGGCGGATACGGTTTTCTCGACAGCGCCGCCCTGCTTACAGCGCTACGGCCCTGCCGCATCGCGTCGCCTTCCTGCGGCCGGGGCAGCCGCCTCACTCCGAAGGACGCCCTCGCCGCTCTGTCTCTGTCGCACTCAAGGGGCATCCCGTTCGGGAGCGAGAGGGACAGGGGCCTGGCTTGGCCTGCCGGTGTGGTGACGTCGGAGGGCGTGGCGTGGAGCACACGACGCGGCCCGGGCGGGGCGGGGCGGGGCGCGGTGGCACGGCGGACGGTCGGTCAGTAGTGGCACGCGGTACGTCGCTGAGGCTTCACCCGTTATCCAACCCGAGCTGCCCGGCCTGCCTTGCCGCCGAGGCCTCCAAGTCCGCCGAGCAAAACCCGCGCAGTGGAGTGTGTTACCATGACGACCAGGTCGACCGCGCCGCGCAGCAGAAGCAGCAGAAGTCCGCCCTGTCCACGCGTCACGAGGGCCACCAGGGCCACCAGGGCCACCAGCAACAGGTACTTGACGGCGGAGCCCAGCTGGGGCGCCGGGCGCGGCCAGGCGGCGACCCTCAGCCTTGAGGGCCGCGGCCGGAGTGAGACCCGAGACCCCTGCAGCCTGCTCCGGACACTGCGCGGGGCGTCGGGCCGCGCCCTGCTGGAGGGGAAGCCCCCTCCCCTCCCCCGCCCCTCCGCGTCCCCCCTCCCCCCGCTTTCCCGCGTGCCGTGCTGTTCGGTCCACGCCGCGGCGTCAACGCGGCGACAACGCGACGACAAAGGGGTGCTAACTGGCCCCAGAGTGTAATGCCGTGGTGTCGACCACTTGTCGCCAGGCAAGGCGGCGCGGTGAAAGTGCCACTGTGGGTGTGGGTGTGTGTGAGTGTGTGTCGCAAGCCCTAGCAGTCAGTCACCTTGCCGAGCAAACAGGGCCATGTTGTCGAAGCGCTGCGCTCGCTGGAGTGGGGTCGGCCCACCGGAGGCCCACCCGCGACAGGGCACGGCCCGGGCCACCCACGCCAACCAGCAGCGCAACTAGGCGACACGTCCACCGGGACCCGGCAAATGGGTAGCGAAACGAGGCATTGCCGCCGAGATGCACCGCACTGCTAAAGGGCCACAGCGACGCCGGTAGAGCTTGACGGGGTGCTCCGCCCCCGCTCCAACAGGTGGCGGCGGACACGGCGTTGTGCTTCCGCAGAATGCCCTGTAATGTCGCTGAGCGTTATCCAAAACGACACGGGGGACTCTAAATCTCCCCCAGGCGCCACAGGGGCCACGCTTGACTGCTTGCTTCCGTCTGCCCCCAGGACCGTCTTGAGCACCATGAACGCAGCGATGGCCTTGGTGGCCGTGTTGGCGGCGGCGCTCGTCGCCACGGCCATGGGCTCGGGGGTCGTGTTCAAGGACGACAGCGGCGCCCCCTCGCGGCCCGCCGCTTCCCGGCCCGCTGAGGCCGCCGTCAACGCCACGGCCTTCGGCGAGGGCCGGCACCTCCGCGGCCTGCGCCTGCCGGCCGGCGAGCTGGACGCCTCGCTGCAGGACGCGTACAACGAGGACTCCCCGCAGCACGGACCCGGCGGCGTGCGCCACGGCAAGAACCTCCTGGACTGGATCGGCCTGGGCACGGGCCCCGAGACGGACCCCTACATGGCCAGGATCAACAACCAGTGCCTGGAGGGCGACTTCTCCGAGTGCTTCAAGTCGCGCGCGCTCGCCTCCCTGGACGACTTCTTCGACAAGGACCTGTACGACCTCAACGACAACGCGCGCGTCATCCGCCTGCCCGGCGTCACGCTGCGCTCGCTCGCGCAGGAGCCCTACGAGTACTCCACCGAGGCGCGCGCCGACGAGCCGGAGTGGGACCAGTTCGTCAAGTTCCTGCTGCGGCGCGTCGAGCGCTTCCTCAAGTCCACCGCCATCGAGGTGAAGCTGCCCCAGGAGGTGACGGGCGACGGCAAGTACGCGCCGCGCTTCATCGAGGACATCGCCACCGAGGTGGACTACATCGAGGACAAGACCGACACCAAATTCTGTAAGTTGGGCAGAGATTCGGGCCCTTCGGGTTGGTGGTCCTTCACTGTCAAAGCCTTGTCAAATCGAATATTCAAAATATTTGCTTCATTAGTAGTCTATCGAGAACCGTAAGCTCAAAATAATTGGTACGGCCTGTAGTAGTCTGGGGATCAAATGGCTACAGTGTACGCCAAAGCGCTGCGGGCTACACCCACGTGTTTGAGCGGGCCTGTCAGTCCCAGATCGCAGTTAATAGCTTCAAATATTTACTCGTCGATCGCTGCAATTACTAGTGTACACACGCCCCCCCGGGGGTCGTGTGCAACGACATCGGCATGCAAAAACACGGAACTGATAAGGAGGCCGTTTAGCGGAACAATGGCGCTGTATTTAACAATTGATGAAATTCAAAAGGAGTGGGGGTGAGAGGGTTGACACGCTCCGGGCGGCCCAGTCCTCGCGACTCGCTGGGACCCGCTGCCATTCCTTCCATCGGCAAGCCGAGAGCGGCAGCACGCGCGCTATGGAAATAGTTTACAGCGGAGCCGGCAAAACTTTCGTATATTATCCATGGGCGAACTCGCAGCTCCAAGTTGGGCAAGTGCGTACACGGCCGGTACACGCCCCACCTGAGGTGCGCTGCCGAATTCCCGCCTCTCTGGTTCGCGCGGGCGTTGCCTTGGCGTTGCCTTGTCGCAGTGCGTTGTGGTGTGCAGTGGGAATCGATCAGGGGCAGCACCACACACTGACTCATTCGCGGAGAAAGTATCCAGTGTAGTGTTTGTGAGGCCGCCGCCGTTCCGTCGAGGCGGGGAACCCAACCCATTCACGGCGGAAACGGTTCTCGCATGCAGCGCGCCGCCGCCTGTAGCCGTTTTTGTCGGTCGTTGTTGTTTTTGTTCCTCCGATTGCGCGCGCGTGGGACATGCAAAATGCACGCGACTCGGTGATCACATTCGCGAGTGGAGTGGATAGGCTGAAGTCCCCCGAAGTCCTGCGCGAGAGGACGATGAAGCTGAAACTTTGAAACGCCGAAGAAGGTGGGCCTTTCATTATTCAGGCGTGGGCAAACAGCTGGAAGCGGCGCGCGCGGGGTTCGGTACGGGTGGCGGGGCTCGGCATGGGAAAGATCAGCTCTCCTCTCAGGAGTGGTTCGAAGCTGATTCCCTAAAAAAAGTGACTAGGAATTCAAAGTTAACTCGTATGTTGACCCCCGGTTTTTGGTCCGCAGCGCGTTTCCGCCTCAAGAAGCTGCTCATCCCGATGCTGGTCATCCTGAAGCTGTTCAAGCTGAAGCTGCTGCTGTTCCTTCCGCTCATCCTGGGCCTGGCCTCCTTCAAGAAGGTGCTCGGCCTGTTCGCGCTCGTCGTCCCCGGCCTCATCGGCTTCTTCAAGTTCTGCGGCAAGTCGGACCTGGCTGGCGGCTATGGCAGCTACGGCCACTCCAGCTTCTACAAGCAGCCGCCGCCGCACCGGTACCCGCCCCACCACTCCGCGCCACTGTGAGTACCGACCGAGCACCGCCTGTCGCGCGGGCAGCCCACAGCGCCGCCGCGCCCGTTGGGCTGCCTACCCCGCGCGCTCGCGGCGCACCCGGACCTTTCAAATCCCCGGAACCTTTCCCCGGGCCAGGAAACGACTATACCTAACAATGTTGCAGGTACCCCAGCGGTGGCCCTTACCACCAGTACGCCGCGGGCAGCGCCCCCTACACCGAGTACCGCGACAACGAGCAGCCCGCCGCGCCGTCCTCGTCGGTCGCCTTCAGGGACCCCGAGGACTCGCCGGCGCACGACCTGGCCTACCAGGGCTACCAGAACTACAAGAAGAAGTAGGGGTGGCGACGTAGGAACTAGTTTTTCAAATGCTTTACTGAGAGTGACACCCGATGGAAAACGAGGTAGTGTTTTGCCATGACTGTAATTTATTATGATTATTTCAATGTGTACATATTTAAGACGTAATTGACGTACTAATTTATTGAAGGTGGCTGCTTTTTATGGCCGCTCAGACTGAACAAATAGCGAACGCTTACTTCCAAACGATTAGAGAGAGTTGTTTTGTGTATGTTTTGTAAATACGTAATAAAAATATGAAATGTTATTTTCTAAGTGAAGATCGCGTCGGTTAAATCTCTTCAGAAAGAATCACCCACTACACCTTTACTTACTGTCAGCGCCCATCGCAAGGTTCCTGACAGAAGGCACGTGCACAGTCGCTCGGCTGGCAGTGGGTGCGCCTTGCGGCGGGCAACCCATTCGCCCTCCCAGTCGGCCTGCTGAAGGAGTCTCCGGGCGCGATGCACCGGGAAGCGTGGCCGAGGCTGCCTGATGACCGCGACCAGGCCAAGCCCACTCACGAAACGGAAGCGTGGCCCTTTTTGTCGCTTGGAGAAAATTCAAAGCTCGAAGTTCGTTTGCGCTTTCGACGTTGTAGCTTAAGTTTTTTCGTGTTTTTGCCACCGTGGTCTCACCCATTTTTTCGTAAGGGTTTCCTAAGTCCTCATGGTTCGAAATTGTTTTCAGAAAGGCTTTCCATGACAATTTTCACCACTGTGTCCCTAGTCTGGCCATGATTTCACCACGGTTTCACCAGCCACATGCACGTGGTGAAGCCCCGACTCCCTGACCCGGCATGCCGCGGCAGCGTGACGCGGCCGAAACCCGATCGACGCATCGCGATGGTCCATTTCGTGTCCAGCGCCCCGTGACTAGCATTTATGCAGATGCGGGCTGGCTGCACCACGGGCCGCGCCACGGGCCGCACCGTTGCAGTAATTAACGGGGCCCTTCTTGAAGGACAGGGTATCAATAACGATTTGGCCGCGCTGCCGGGGCGCCTGGCCGCCACGGTCGGCACGGCCAGCAGGGCCTGGAGTGGGCTGCGTGCAGTTAATAACAATCGCCGCGCGGCGGGGCCATGATGTATGGCCGAAGGGGCGCGGTGGCGGGGCGGGGCGGGGCGGACCGGCTTCCTTGTAAACACGGAACGCCACCGGTTGGGGTCTCTTTCAAATCTGAAAAAGTCACGGAGGAGCGCACGACGCGTGCGCCGAAAAAAAAAACAAACGTGAGCTACTTTCAACGCAGCGTGGCGCCGCCGCCGCCGCCCGGACACGACCCCAGCAGGTGGGCGACGGCGACCCTCCGCCTGGCGGTTTTGGGGCCGAAGTGGACGGCTATTGGTTGTCGCCCAATAAAGTGGCGGGCCGGCTAGTGGGACTCGGCGTAGCTACGCGTAGGCCCCCTTCCCCCGCCGCACGTCAAGCCTCTCCACTGTCAGCTGATTCGTCCCCTGGCAGTGCGGCCCGGTCCAGTGCTTTGCGCCCCGGCAGCTTCTCTGGGTCAAAGTTCGACTGGCTTGGTGCCGCCAAGCACCGAAGGGACGCCAACTTTTCGGGCCGCGTCCCCGCGGGAGCCAGGCTGCCGGCTGTGACCCTATAGTCGCGTTTCGGACGAGGCTTTTCGGCCCCTGGCAATTTAATCCACGCTTGTTGCTGACGCTCTCTCACAACGTCTCGCGAGTGCCAGCGAGAGACAGAATGACACACCGAGGGTCGGCCGGACAGCCACCTCGCGTGCCCTGTGGCGCCGCCTGCCGGCGAAAGGCGGAACCTTCGGGAAAAGTCTCGTCTGGTGCATTTCCTTTTACGACGGGCCTGCCGGTGCAGCTGGACACGGCGCGGGGTGCGGCGCCACACGAGCGCATCCAGACGGTCGGGGAAAACGTTTTGCTTCGTTTCACTGCGTTCTGTTTCCGTCCCCCTCGCACGCTCATTATTACGTTGCGAACCGCAGTAATACGCCGTTTGTTCGTCCGCCTCGCTACGCCGTGCCTCGCCGTGACCGCGAGCCGTACCGAACAGCGCGGCCGGAGCCCCCCAGCGACCGAAGCCCAGCGAGAGTGAGGAGAGGAGCTTGTAGTGACCGGCAGCAGCAGTTCCAATTCCCGTTCGCTTTCTCGGCCTTCTTTACACACAGGAAGCTTAGTCCTTAGTGTGAGAGTAGGAGGGACAAAAGAGAGCGGCAATTAGCCCTACGGAGACAAAGCGATGCGTATCTGGCGGCCGGTCAGGGCCACCAGCACATCGCGGGCAGATTCATCTAGCGGGGTCGCGCACTTCGACGTTTTGGAAGCGCAGCCCCGGGCGATGGGACAACGAGGACCGACCGCGGCCACAAAATGGAAACAGTGAGCCGGAACGCTTTAAAGGCCAGCGGTTATCACGGTCATTTCGGGCGAATAAACATGTCGTTTTATTCGGAAGAAACTATATATGCGGTTGTTCAGCTACTCTTCTCGTTACACTTCAGATATACAGTTGGTGTGTAAAATAGTGCAGTCCGCGACAGTTCGTGTTTCAGAAGGTCATCAACACAGTCGCGAGCTTGCAGAAAACAACACAACTCGGCCCTCGGCAAATACAAACCATGAAGAGGGCCGAGCTCATTCTTTGGGTTCGGCCAACAAAGGGCTCACGGGCACGGCAAGCACAAGGGGGATGGACGATCCGGAGCCCCAGAAAGAGACACGAGCTATCTTCCTTTATTTTTCACGAGCACAGCCCTCCGCTGAGAGCCGGAGGGGTGAGGCTGCGGCCTTCTGGTCGGGAGATAGACTACCATTATTGACGAGCTCTTCAGAACAATACCACCAGCATAATCGAACAGTGGCTTCAAAGAGTCGCTACAGCGTGGCCCGCTGGACCATGCAGCCTCGACCACCCTGTCTGTACATCTGCTCACTCTCCAATAGCATTTTCCGTCCCAGACGTTCGAGAAGGGGTATTAAGACATTATGTATATTTCAGAGCAGGGGTATAGTGCATCCTTGTTTTCTCAGGTAAGACCAGAGTTCACTTCGCCCCGGTGCCGAAACCGCAGGGATCAGTGGCTAGCCCTGTCCCACATCCTCTCGGTAGTGGTGGCGGAGCGAGTGAGAAGCTCGCCAATAAGCTCCTCTCGCGTTGTGTGCTCGAAGTGTTCCGAAATCACCTATGAAAGCCATCACGTCAGCCTTAATGAAAACCTCGACCCCGAGAACAGTTTTGGATTGGGCCTGGTTGAATAGAGTGGACTAGGGCCGCCGCGTATGTATCGGCAATACAATGGAAAGACCATTTTGTGAAGTCGCTCAGTGCAAACTACACTTGACTCAACCTCCATTCTGAACCACACGATCGAGTTTTTACCTCGGGCGCGTACGCCACTTTTGCCACTGGAAAACACACGGACGCGGGGCACTCACACCAGCGCACTCCGCCGGCAGCGCGGCGGCAAGGCAAGGCAGCGGCCCCTGATCAACAATTACTTGCTGCGCAGTGCGGACGCGCGTGCCGAGCGGGGCGGGCCTGGGGCTGACGGCTCTCTTGGTTCCAGCTAGGCTCCAGTTAGGCTCCAGCGAGGCTCCAGCGAAGCTCCAGCCGTGCAGGATGAAGGCCCGGGGCGAGGCGCGACAAAGCACCCCATCGAGTCGCATTTCACCTTCCTAATGGAATAGTCGATCTTACAAAAGGTGCGCTTGGCCGCCAATTCCCCGACGAGCGAGAGTCAAGCGCTCCTCGGGCACCGATAACTCATCCCCGCAGCGAGGCTACAAAACGTTTTGTCATTCTGTCCGATTCATCTTCCGCAGCTGATAGAGGAAAAACGGCAAAAGTCAATACAGTGAAAGGAGTTACATTCTTTGCCACCTCCACCGTGAATGAATTCACATGGAAGAAAAGTACAAGAGGATGGAAAGACCAAAAGGATACGCATGAGAAAAAAATAATGAAAAAGGGTTTGATCAAGAAACCAAAAGTAGACGATAAAGAAGGTGATAAAGAAAGGTGATAAAATGGAAGAAGAAGCAGAATAGGAGAAGAAGGAGAAGAAGATGCAGCAGTGGGGCGTGAGAACACACGTCGCTGTTCCACTTCCCATGGAATGTGATCTCGTGGGGGGGAGGGGGAGGGGGTGGGCAGGGTAGGCCGGTTGGCTGGTCAGTCAGAAAGTGGATTTTATCATTGGCGTACTGCCGTGTGCCCTGCACTCATGAGCCGCGAGAGTGCGGATCGTACTCATCACACACACACACACACACACACACACACACACACACACACACACACACACACATGTGACACGTGGAGCGACCCAGTCAGCTCATGCTGTCCATTGAGAGAATATTTGCCAAAGCCAACGAGGCTCAACCCGATTTGGGAAAGAGCAGGGATCCACCGAAATGAATGTACCCGGTCCGCCCCGACCCGTCCACTGTGTCCATTAGTAATAATCCAGACCCGCGGTACCGGGCGTTGCTTCGTGCCTCGCCGAGCCACGTCGTTCGCGCAGCAGAGTGCCTTTTTTAGGGGTCGGCGGCGGGGTAAGAGAGTTGTTCGGTGGTCTCCTGGTGTGTGTTGTTCCCGGTTTTTTTACCGGCCCGTGCATCAAGGCCAGTGCAGCGGTGGAGCGGCGCCAGCCAAAATCTCTGCGGCGCGTCACGGCGGCGACGCGCTGAAGAAAGCCGAAAAGCTGCCGCCGCCGTGTTGTTCTTCTGCCGAGCAAAGAGAGAGAGAATGTCGCACCGTTTTCCGGCCGTATATAACCGGAGCCATCAACGCAAAAACTTGGCAAAGATAGGACAGCGCGCCGATAGTGCGGAATGGCGGCTTTTACCGCCGCACTTAAATCAAAACTGTGTCACTTTCATCCCGCGTGCTCACGGCCCCTAATTACGTGGCCACACTCTGTCTTCCCGCGACGCAGCGCGACGCAGCGCGACGCACCGCGCATCGGCAGGCGCCACTTACACCGCCTGGACCTCGGCCCGGCCCCGAAGTCCTGGCGGGGCACCTCGACGTCCTGCTCGCGGCGCACGCCTCTCGATGCCCAGGCGATATCGAGCGAGCCCGCTATCCAAAACGCGCCATGTCCTTACCCTAGACAAAGGAAGTTTCCACCGCCGTTTCGAACACTTTCTTCCTGGCCGCTGCCACGGTGGCGGTGCCGAGCGCCTGTCCCGGGCGCCTGCTATCTCGCCTCCTTTTGTCAACGCGTTCCCCCGGCTGCCGGGATCTCACGTAGGAAGCAGAGAGAGAGATTCCAGCGGGCGATGCAGGC